TTTACAAAATATTGTAGAAATACTCATAAAGAAGCGAAAAGCTAAAAACTAAAATTCAACACTTTTGCAAAGACCTCTGATGTTTTTTGTTAAACAATTGCATTACTTACACCCATACACTTAGGTAGTATCCTAACCTTTTAATTGATTAGCATGAGCTTTGTGGTCAAAGTGTTTTATTGACATCATTTTATCACAACCTTTTACATATTAATTGTTCAAATTTAAAATGCATGCTTATTCATGGCTTTTTTTAGCATGACATGGCCATGTTTCAGTGGCCATGGTACTGTTATTACTTGATATAGTTTTTTTTTCCACATCAATTACTTATTAATAGTTCAGTTGGGCTTTGTTCCATCTGCTTATAGTCTCACTAAAATATAACACTTTCTGGAATGAAGAATATATAAATTTTAATGATGTCATTTTATAATCCTCACATTTCTTTCACCCTGAATCACTTGTATTTTATGTGTTGGAAAAATGATAATAGTAGGAATACTATATACTATTTCTGAATTTATGTATGGCTTCCACTGGAATGTGGTCAACATAAATTCCTACTCTTAAAAATGTACATAAATTATGGAGTCCATAATATAGATTTAAGTCAATGAGCTATCTTTTTAGCATAGCTTGAAGTCCTAGCTAAAAGCAACTTTTAAAATTAATTGCTCTACCACCATCTTTTTAACCTTTTAAAGTTATTGTTTCCTAAGAGATAGAATATCATCTTCATGAGGAATTCTTCATTAGACTGAAAGCTCTGAACTTGTGGCTCCTGATCCTAATGTGGCTCAAGATAAATAAAGGGAAAGTTTTTAAAGGGAAATCATGTGAGTTACACTAGCTTCCTAAATGCCATAGGTTACTAGTAAACACTAAGAAAGTTAATTTATTAATGTCAGAGAAATAGTCATTCTGCCTTATTTAGGTGACTACATTTTCCTTTCATTGTCTCTTCTTCACTCTCCTAACCTTTTCTGTTCTCTAAAGAGCAGGTGATTGACCTCACATTGATATGTGATCTGTTATGCAGAGGTTATCTACTCTTGCTTTGCAGCACTGTGACATCGGTCCAGAACAAAAATAGCAGTCATGTTGCACAATCTCACGACTCTCAGTTTATTCCCACCACTGTAGACTATGGTGAGAGCCTGTCTCTGCTCTCAGTAGCCTTTCTAAACTGTCTGCTAAAAAGGGTTCATTATAAATGACTCATATCAACATAATATTTTAAATATTTTCACGTAAGTCAATGTAAAATAAAGAAAAGCTCTTGAAGAATATAGCAGCTAGTTAAACTCAATGCAATACTTTACTAAATCAGTCCCATACATATATATCTGGAGTAATGCCACAGCACATGCTCTACTTCCAGCCCCTTTCATTTGGTGTCTTATTGATGTTTAATTCAAGGATATACACAATTCTTTCCAGTTATCTGTGTTGCCCGATTATTTGTACTTTAGCCCACTTCTGAAACTGCCATTCCAAATGGGTTTGCCGGGGTCTTCTCAGTCCTCTGTCAGGAGAAAACCAGTCACTTCCCATGAGAATGCCAAGCCTTCTACCCTTGACTGTGCCCAGCCAGGCCAACCTAGTGCATGGCCAGAGTTTGCGCCTTCTTCTTTCAGATTTGGACACAACACTGACTAATGGGAGAGAAAAAAATTACAGAGCTAGGCAAATAGATTCTCTCTTTATTCCCTCCAAAAAGAAAAGCCTTCTCTCCATGTTTTAATTTTTTTATCTGTAATACTACCATTACTGCTCACTTATTTATTATTCATTCATTCATTCACTCACTAAACTCACTCATCCATCATGTCTTGCATTACAAAATCTAACACAAAACACGTGCTATTCACAGAGCTTAAGACCACTTATTAAACCAAACAAGAAAACAGCCAATGTTTCTCTCAGGCTTCACCTCTGACACAGACTCTATGTTGAGAAAGAACTGAATATTTGAGAACGGGTATGGTAGCAAGGAAGTAATCCTGAAAATACATCATGTTGTTGCTTCACAGATGCCAGATTTTGCCCTGTATCATATACTCCTGTGTATGATGCACACCCATGTTTTTGTCCCAAACTTTCAGGGAAAAAAAAATCCTTCTTTTTTATTTTTAATTAAAAATTTTATTTATTTGTATTTAGAAACAAAACTGATTATCATATTTCAGGGTAATATTTTTCATATAGATATCCTTACTGCTTTCTAAATTACATTTTAATGCATAAGAATGAATAAAATAATTTAAAATATTCATATAGACAGAGAATTAGTACTACTCATGTTTAATGCACATCCTTATTTTTCCCTCAAAAATTTGGGCAAAAAAGTGCACATTATACATAGCGAAATACAGTACTTATCATCAAATCATATAAACTATTAATCAATTGACTAAATGTTCCTGTGGTGGTTTCCCATTGGTGTTACATGGAACTAATCATTTTAAGATTTGAAAAGAACAGCTGAGAGTTTAAACAATCCATTAGTAAAATGGTCATCTAAAAATCATGTAAATGGTTATTCAAACACTTAACCTGAGTATTATCAACAATTAATATAATCCAAATATATTTTATAATATTTTTATGTAATTTTTACTATGTGAGTCAACAATATAAATACTAAATTACAAGTAACTAATTGTATTGAACATCTATTTTCAAATTAGAAATAATTTCTGAAGCATTTAGATTAAGTGATTTTTTTATTCTAAATATGAATATGAAACAGGCCCAAGTCTTAAAATCTGAAGAAATAAAAGTGTTGGAATTTTCTTCTTATTCGAATTACTTATTAAAATTATATATATATATATATATATATATATGGCATAGAGTATATAGTCTTTTCAATAGATACTTTAGATTGACAACTTTACTATTTATTTTAAGTACTTATGTTTCAGGTCTGCATAGATAAGCCTTTTCTCCTTTAAATATAAATATATTTTTCTTATGGAACATTTAATGCAAAATAAATCTTAGGTTAAATCACTAAAAATGTAGAAAAGTAAGCAAATTTATCCTGAAGGTGAGTCACTTGTAACCATTGTTATTTCTTTCTGAAATCATTTGTTAGAAAGTGTACCATTTTCCCCTAAAAGCATTTTTGATTAGTTATTTTAATAATACATTGATTTATAATTTATATATAGTATAAGAATAGCTAATATATTTATCTCATTTCTTATTACTTTAATAATAAGAATGTCTTACTTTAATAAGAATTAATAATAAGAACTGTCTTCATGCAACTCATTCTACACTGCTCTCTTAGTAGTTAATTTACTAGTGAAGTGTGAATCTTTGAAAACTATGAGTTCATAGTTTGCTAAAATGTTTTCTTTCTTTTTATAAGAGTCCCCGAAATGCAGTTACGAAATGATTTAGTTTTTTCCATCTTGCTGAGTGATTCTCATTCAAATGTTGGCCCTGTTTATTTCCTGTTTTTAAAAAGCAAAATTATTTCTGATATACCATCATTTTTGTTTCAGTTGGCTTTATTTTCCTAAAAAATTGTCCTTCCCTCATGTTGTATTTTCTTTTTGTTCTACATTTTATCTTCTTAAATAACGTCTTCTGAAAGTTCAGAAATGTTAAAGTAAACCTTGAAAATTTTCACTTCACTATGGCAAGAAACCAAAATGCCGTGTGAACAGGTTTTGGGTTTGTTATTTGTTTTTTCAATGTTTCAAAGTGTCAGAAATGAGAAAAATTAGTAAAGATTATGTGACCAAAAAGGTTTCATATAAAGGGCAACTGTTCAAATCTCTTTGGAGAAACAATTTTTCAAGGATATGGTTGTGATTTGAGAAAATACTACAGTTGTTCCCAGCTGGAAATGTAGCGATGGCACTCATGGGTACATTTCACTGAGTTTTGATGTTACAAGTTATAGTAGAATAATAAGTATGAAGTATACACAACTGAAAGCATTTACTGATGTGTAAATGACAAAAAGTGGGTTAAATTATCTTAATGTTATTTATCATTCTTATTGAAAACCTCTTCTCATGCTGGCTGGTGTGGCTCAGTGGATTGCTTACTGGACTGTGAAGCAGAGGGTCACTGGTTCGATTCCCAATCAGGGCATATGCCTGGGTTGTAGGCCAGGTTTCCTGGTGTGGGGAGCATGAGAGGCAAACATTTATGTTTCTCTCCCTCTTTTTTTCCCTCTCTTCCCTTCTGTCTAAAAATAAATAAAAATATTTTTAAAAAGTAAAAAGAAAACCTATTCTCTACTAAAATATTACTTAACTAATTAATATCACTTTAAAGAATATTCAATCATTTTAATTTTATTCAGTAAAACATTACTAGTGTATCTCAATTAAAATCAGAGCCTACTTATTGATTAAATCTTTACTACTGTTGAAATTTTGAGTTAAATTTTTTCAATCTTTAAAGAAAGAAAATATTCTACCATGATTTTTTAAATTCAAACTGAACAATTTATTTAGAAAATATTTTAATTAAAATCAATGTCCCTGTGACAAGCATGAACTTTTTGTGGTAATTTTAACAACTGACTTTAATCTCAGTTTTACTATCATAGTTTTCATAATTTTAGGTTTTAAATGGAATACCAAATTTAAATTTAAAAAAATATTTTTTCTATATGTATGAAAACATTCTTCCAACTAATTTACTGGTAATTTATTTTCCCAATTATATTCTATGTAGGTATTAAAATGTTGATTTAGTGGAGTAAAAACAAGGGTCTATTGTTTTTGTTGTATAAGTATTATTAATTTCTCTTAAATCAATAAGTGGGTGTCTTTAGATCATAATAAAATATCCATATTAATAGCAAGTGGGAAAATATCAGGAAAGTAAATTATTGTAGTGACTCACAAGACATTGTAGAAAAATGTCATAATTAAACCAAGTATTGATTTACCAAATAGCTGGTTTGCAGAGGATACTGTGTAGATTGGACGATAATACATGTCAAATTCTTCCATTTGTATTTGCAGCTGCACTCCAATTCTGACAAAGGTGATGGGTCTGTCAAGTACATCCTCACTGGAGAAGGTGCTGGGACCATATTTATCATTGATGATACCACAGGTGACATCCACTCAACAAAAAGCCTAGATAGAGAGCAGAAGACCCACTATGTGCTTCATGCCCAGGCTATTGACAGACGGACAAACAAGCCTCTTGAACCGGAGTCCGAGTTCATCATCAAAGTGCAAGATATCAATGACAATGCCCCAAAGTTTACAGACGGACCGTATATTGTGACTGTGCCTGAGATGTCCGATATGGGTAAGACGCATCACTTTTCTACTCAACTCAGTACACTTTTGAGTTTCCAGAAATAATCTTTGAACACCAATTATAATTTGTGTGTGGGTGTAGAAGCTCTAAGAATGTTCAAAATATTTTAATACTTCTTTGTGGCCTAAAGTATTGAAGACTGATGATTCCAGTTATTATAATATTTATTGAAATTAACTTATGAATGTGTGTCAGTAATGGTCTTCTCTCAAGAAAACACTATCAGAACTTGTAAGACTTGCAATTATTGATTGACATCTTTTTTGATCATGCAATTTTTTTAGTATAGTGTTAAGAACATACCAACACATTCAAGGTAACAATTTGTACAGGTGGGGAAAGACAACATAACATTGGAAAGGTTTTGCTGTGTAGTTTAAGCTTATAATTTATAACTCAATTATAATAGCATTGCTCAATATTAACAGTACAAGTAATAGCTACTGTAATTAATAAGACTTCACCTATACTCTTAAACATTTTTGCACCTTATATATATATCTAAATATAAAAAACCCTGTGAAATATTTTGAAGGCCACTTTTAAAATGTACAAACTAACATACAGCACTAAAGTAACTTTTCTAAATTCACATGTGTAGTAATTTAATTGGCCAAGAAAAAATTAACTCCAGTTCTTCTGAATGAAAAGCTTACACTCCAGTTAATAAATTATAATCTATGCCTCTGGTCACCCTGAAGATCTGCTTTTTTCCCACTAATCACACATTCTGTGGTCTAGGTATCTTATTTTATTTCCTAGTATAATTAAAATTCAACTGTCATAATAACTTTTGACTACTAATGACACTTAACACTTAGATTTAGAATATATTATTTGAGTAAAGATTATTTCCAAAATATGTACATTAGACATGGTCTGGATAAAAACAGTGGACAGGTTCCAGGTAGGTATGTTTACCTCATGTTTATTGCATATATATGAGTGTTATTGTAAAGTAAGTTTATTATAATAATCAGTTAAGTCACTGTATATTAAATGCATACATAAGCTTATTTTTTTCAACTTGGGAAATTTTTCCAGTTTTATTGAGATTTCTTGACCTACAGCTCTGGATAAGTTTAAGACACACGGAATAATGAGTTGACCTACAACTATTGTGAAATGATCATCACAATAAGTTCTGTTAATATCCCCCATCTCTTGTGCATAGGGTTTTTCAATGGAAGATTGTGATTTCTTCCCTTCCCAACTCCAGCCCACCTTAATGTTCTCTTGAGCTAGGCAGAGCGCTCCCAAAGCTGTGGCAGAATCAGGGTGGGAAGAGAGACTAAGTTCTCCTTTTCAACTGGAGTCTCAGTGAGGAATGCAGTTGCCAGACTGGCTCCCCCTGGACCAGAAATGAGTACAGAACAGGATCCAGCCTCCGAGAAGCTGGGAGAGGCCCAGAGTCCCTCAGGCTCATTGGTTTCTAAGGAAAACCAAACAGCTCAACACTCAACCTGGGCAGGTGAGAGTTTGTGTGGAAACTCTAAACAGGTTTCCTCCACATGCCTTGTCAAAGGCGTCCTAGAAGGACATCTGCCGACATCCTTCTGTCTGACAAAAGCTAAAAGCTCTATGACTTGTGAGAAAACCACTGGTAAGACCCTACCAAGGGTGACAGAAGACCCCAAAAAGCACAATAAAGAAAATAAAACAAAACAAAACATACTAAAGTGTCAACGCACTAGACAGAGAAAAACAGAATAGATATTACTAAGAAAGGCGGTGTAGTGAGAGGTGGGTAATAAGAGAACGAGTGTTTTTAAGGACATTGCAAAGAATTTTGTGTAACTCAAAGCCAGAATTTCTATAAGTAAACAAAAATAAACCACTGTATGGATTGAGGCATGAACAGTCACTGATAAGACCCAAACTATTGTTCTGGAACTTGAGAATATACCAGATGAAAAGAAGTCGGTAAAAATCAGAGAGCAAAAATACAAAAATAAGGAAACTGTGGGAAAAAGGTGAGACTCAGAAGGTATGTTTATTAGAATTATTGTGTGAACACAGTGTGTTCCTAGAGATCAAAATAGAGCAGATGAAGGAGAGGAAGAATAATACTTCCTTAGGTGAAGATATACAAGTTTATTAGATTTTCTGAGTTCCAAAAATGGATTTATACATAAAAAAAAACAAATCTAAGTAAATCTTGGCAAAATTTGTAAAACCTATGTAAAATTTAAAAAAATAACAAATTTTTAGATTTTTCAAAATTTCCTACTAAGAAAAATATATACTGGCATCATCATATTTATCTTTTAAAATATTGGGCTGTGGCTGACATCTGAATACCATTTACAGCCTACATCTGTCAAGGTCAAAGTTATTTGAAAAAGAAGCCAGAAACTATATAATTTCTGTACCTTATCTAGAATTGCTGTAACATTTCTATATAATGTCTATACCTTATTTGAGAAAATAGTTTACATGAAATCAGAGTCAAAGACAATGACAAGGTCAGGAAAAATGGTATCATTCGTGCGCTCTGAAATTGTGAGTGTGTGTATGTGTGTCTTTGTATGAGCAGAGCTAATTGTAAATGGGCACATCTGAGGATGTTAAAAGGTGCTGCGCAGTCTAGGAATCATGCAGCACAAAGCAACTGTTGCAGAAAAGGCTGTAGTGTGAGAACAAAGGGCTAAGTCAGGATATTTCCAAACCTTATGTAGGACATGGAATGGAGGATACAAATGGGAATCAGCCAGTATTCCCAATATTTTTACTGGGATTGAAGGAGTAGTTAATACTAAAAGTAGTAGAGAAAAAAAAAAACATGAGAATAGGTTGTAAGTCTCTCTACTGTCATGGTTCTAAGCAACAATGGCAAGCTATTGGCTGAACATTGGAAATCGTAATGTGTGTGTGAATTCAGTATCGTGGAAAGACAAATGCATTAAAATTGTGATAATAGCATCTAATGCACATTGTAATGTGAGTTGTAGAATGTGATGTAAAAGTGCAAGGAGAAACTCACTTTACAGTGGGTGCTTAAGAATAGATAATACTTACATTGAGTCTAATTTTGGAAATACCAAGTCAGGAATAAAGCAGTGCAGGGACCAGCCAGCAGTGGCAGGGAGACAAATCCAGCTTCTATTTGTTTTTATAAATAGTGTTTTTCTGGAGCACAGTCATTCCCATTCATTTAGTCTTGTCTGTGGTGCTCTGGGTACTGCTGTGACAGAGGAGTAAGTTGCTGTAAGGACTGACTCACAAAGTGCAAAATATCTCTTGTGCTGCCTTTTACAGAAAAGAGGGCCTACCTCCACTGTAAAGGCTTTCGGGGAATGAGACCGACCGGAGTTCAGGATAATAATTCCAGGGTAGTGAGTGGTGCAGTCCTGAGAGGCAAGGTGTCCGCTGATCTGGGACAGTTAGTTTTTTGCCAGCCTTGCTGAATATGTGCAAAAATATGGCATGTGGTACAAATAACAGGATCAGGTTTATTGCCTTTAGGCAGATGCTGTAAGGTATCTAACAGGTAGCTTTCCCTTCAGTGTTACTGAGATAACTGAGTTTTGAGGAGGGCGACAGCATGCACAGCTAGGCATTCATCTTCCATCACTCCCTTTCACCTAGGAGAGGCCCTGGGACTTAATTCCGGCTGGTAAGATGTAAGGGGAGAGCTTCCAGGAAAGGTACAGATCCCCTGACTAAAAGACATAGCTGGCACGCATATGTCAGCCACTTCCATTTTCCTTTTTTGCTGCCTCTAACGCAGAAGTGGTTCAGAAATGCGGCAGCTGATGGAAACCACTGGAGCAAAGCCTCTTGTTCAGTGAGACGAAGCAGAAAGATAATAGGGCCTGGAAGAAGGGTGCTATGGCAGAACTAATGCTCCAGCGCCGGCCTGCCTGTCCCAAAGCCTTTCCTGAGAAAGTAAATCTCTTTCTACTTAAGCGCTTTCACTCAATCTCAGATATGTGCAAGTACACTGAAGCTCAACTGGTACTTGGACAAATTCTATGTTTCAGCGAACTCTGTGTTTCAGCAAAGATTTGGACCTAATACTACTGAATCCAAAGGAATAGTGAGAAGAGTTTCATCATCGGCTAAGAAACAGCAATGTCATTTTCTGTTAAGTGCCTTGATTTACAAATAATACACGAAGTCATCACTCCTTTCCCCTCTCCCTACTACATAGTATGATTCTGGTTGATTTTGCTGTGGCAGCAATGTGCATTCTGCCTGTGGTGTCGCTAACAGTTTGCGGATATTTAAATCATGCTTGTCGTAAACTCTAGAGACAATTGTATCCACACAAGCCCCGATCTGTGCATGAAAGGAGATTGCACATTTTGAATTTAGACTTTCAGTTCTGCAGAAAATCTGAAATAGATCACCACAAAACAACGACTTAGTTTTGTCAGGGTCTGAGACTGCAGGTTGCCACAGCAGTTGTGATAATGTTCACCGAAATAGCTCCAAGGAATATTTAGTGAGCACTGTCTGCCGTTTGCAATAATTTTATGCTTGCATCATCATGAGGGCAGTGTTCAAATGATCTTTGTTGCACAGTGGATGAAACCAATACATAGAATTAAGTAATTTGTCCAAGATTGCATGTTTGGTGAGAAATGCAACTAGTTAGAATGAATGAACTGGTTAGAAATGAAAGTAGGTTTCTAACCTAGGCATAGCTTTACTTTTTAGTTCTCCTTTTTTAATTTGTTAAGAATTAAAATCTGGATCAAGGTATTTTTTGAATAATTACAACAAAAAAGTGGATGTTCCGGAACCCATACAGTTTACTAAGTGAGAAGGGAGGGTCTTACAGTTGACCCATTCGAGTAATGTGTTGTTGTATGTATGGGTGTGTGCATCAGTCTGTGTCTGTTTATCTGTTGATGAACACTTAGTATTTGTCCATACCTTGACTACTATAAACAATGCTGCAGTTAACATACAGGTGCACATATCTTCTTGAAATTAGTGTTTTTATGTTCTTCTGATAAATTCCCAGAAGTGGAATTTCTGGA